GTTGCCCGGGCTAGAGTTCCGTGGCATCAGCTCACAGCAACCTCAAACTCCTGAGCTCAAGTGATCCTCCTGCCTCAGCCTCCTGGGTAGCTGGGACTACAGGCACACGCCACTGTGCCCAGCTAATTTTTTCTATTTTTAGTTGTTTGGCTAATTTCTTTCTATTTATAGTAGAGACGGGGGTGTCTCTCTTGCTCTGGCTGGTCTTGAACTCCTGAGCTCAAGCAATTCTCCTGCCTTGGCCTCCTAGAGTGCTAGGATCACAGGCATGAGCCACTGCGCCTGGCCCAGATTTTCCCTCTTTCAATTGGATTGTTCTTCAAATTGGAGAATCACGGAGGATATGAAAGCCAGTTATTTGTTAGGAAAAACTTTCAGGATGGCTAGAATTTGCACAAGTCGGGAGGAATTAGGGGAAAATTCTCAGTCAATATTTGAAAAGGATATCAACATAATCTGTTTAGGGATGAAAGATAAGATTTCCCCGTGAGAGAGAGGGAGAGAAATTGCTAATTGTTACAGGACAATTTGTTCCCCATCAGACATGGTCTATACAAAGACTGGAGAAGTTTTATTCTCCTATTGGCTCAGCTGGCCAGAGAGATAGCTGCACACCATCTGGTCACAGCAGATGCTGAAAGCAGAAGCTAGGCAGCAATTTATAAAGCCACCAGTACTGCCTCTTCTGAACCTCTCCCTACCCCCACCATTCATCACGCTACACAGTTCCCCTTTAGAGCTGCCTCGGGCAGGATTTGCAACTCTGCATTTTCGTTCTGTGTAAGTGCCTGTCCCATTATTTGCAAAACTCCAGTTTTACCCTAACAGTATCACCGGAGCAGGGTCTCTTTGCACTTTGGTGACAGTAAATTTCCTGCTGCTGCAGCCAGTTGGTGCTCTCAGGGGTTCAAGTTTTAGCGTCTGTCACAAAAGGGTGAAAAAAGACAAACAGCCAATAAAATCCCTAAGCCATCCCTGCCCATTACCTCAGGAGTCCAGGTTGCAGACTGTAAAAAAGGAATCCCAGTTATCCCAGTTTATCAGACACCAAAAAGTCACTCACAAAAGAAGCCATAAGAAAGTGTCCACTTTGAGAATGTCTTAAGTCCAAGGACAGACCTCTGTGTCAGCCATATACATTGGTGAATAAAATACATGGCCTCTGCCTTCCTGGAGCTTACATTCAGTTGGAGAGGACAGATATTAATCAAATAATTATGCCAATGGATGATGTAATATTACCAATTATCAAGGGAAAATAACCCAAACTCTGTAAAATAATTTAAAGAGGGTTATTCTGAACCAAGTTTGAGGACCATGGCCCAGAGTCACATCCAAGAAGCCTTGAGCAACTGAACTCACAGTGGTTGGGTTATGGTTTGGTTTTATACCTTTTAGGGAGACAGGGATTACATGTAAAGTCATAAATCAATACGTGGAAAGTATACATTGGTTTGGCCCGAAAAGGTGGGACATCTCAAAGCAGGGCCTTACAGGTTATAGGTGGGTTTAAAGATTCCTTGATTTGTAATTGGTTAAAGAAATGAAGCTTTGTCTAAAGATTTGCAATGTTTTAAGTTAAGAAAGTCTGTTCATCAGAGACAAGCCAGACTCAAGTGATCTGTTAAGTAAATTGAGGACCTGCACATGTGGTTTAAATGTTGTCTTGCATAGCCTTAGGCCTGTTAATGAGTTACAAAGGGTGTCTTCAAGAACGAAGGAGGGCATGATGAAGCATGTCTGATCTCCCTTCTCATGGCTGGCAACTCAGTTTTAGGGTATCCCTTGGCCAAGAGGGGGTCCATTCAGTCAGCTGGGGGGGCTTAAGATTTTATTTTAGTTGACAAAATTGTGGTAACTGTTATGAGGAAAAGCACAGAATGTATTAAGAGCATTAAGGAGCCAGGCTTGGTAGTGTGCACTGGTAGTTCCAGCTACTGGGGAGGCTGAGGTGGGAAGATTGCTTGAGGTGTTCAAAGCCAGCCTAGGCAGCATATAGTGAGATCCTGTCTCTTAAAACAACAATCACAGAAAAAGCATTATGACAGTGTGACAGGAGAGACCTGGAAGAGAAGAGAAGAGAAAGAGCCTGGGGAGTCTTAGGAGATACCATTTAAGCCAAGTCCCCAGAAGACTGAGTTAGCCAAATGAAGGGAGAGAGAGAGAGGAGGTCTGCTCAGAGTCAACAGAGTGTGCAGGGGCTTTGAAGCAAGTAAGAGTTTGCTATGATCAAGGAACTGAAAGAAGCCAGTTTGGTGAGAATGTGATAGACCAGGGAAAAAGTGAAGGGAGATAAAACCAGCCACCAAGAATCTTGGATCTTACTCAGACAGAGCAAGGTGGCTACTGAAGGAGCTCAGGAAATTTTACCCCAAAGTATGACTCCTTGGTATAAAGAGTATTTTGAATTAAAGGCCTTAGAGATCAACAGGCCCTTGGAAGGGGCTTTCCTTCTAACTGCATAACCCAAGGGACCAATCAAATGAATAATGGACTTCCCTTCCCTTCCCTTTAATTTCACCATATTGCAGGAAAGAAAATCAAGAATGCAACCAGACCTGACCCAAATCATTTAAAACATGATACCTGCCTCTCAGGATAATTTATAAGTCAATCTGTTTCTCCCATCCATTCACTCTCCCAAGTATCCATTCATCCTCCCTAGCAACCATTGTTGTCCCCTAAACAGAATTACCGGTACTCCTTATCCCCCTGCCCCTCTAAAATGCAGGTATAAGAACACCTGGATCCTCATTGCAATATTGGGTAATCACTCTGTGATTCTCCCTGCGCGTATGGCAAATAAAGCTCTTCCTCTTATTAATCTGTCTTATTTCTGAGTTGATCTTTCAGCGAACTTTCAGGAGAAAGGGGAAGTTTCTCCACACCCCTACTGTTTGGTGTAGCCAGCAGTATCTCAAAGCCTCTCTGCTCTTCTGAAATCTGAGTGCGGAGAATTGGAACTCCCACCGGCCAGCAACACGGTGAGACAGCTTTACTTACCAGTCAGACTCCCAGTTTCCCTGTCTCTGTGGGTTCTGACGGTAAAGATCATTGTCCTTTCCAAATTTAAAATTAATGAGTGGAAAGGTTTTTTTGAGTGACTGGTCTTCGTAAAGTGACTCTGGTATTGGCATATTTTTTGGTACATTGTGGTATGAATATTCATATTGTCTGATTCTCTCTCTTCTCAGAAATAGCCTTTTGTTGTTGTTGCTGATTTCTTTTGTCATTGTCTTTCTGTGTACTTTTGTCGAAAAGAGGGTTACCGTAGGGTAGAGCACGGGCTTAGCACCCCTGTGCGCCCAATGTCGAGCCTGCCCTGCAGGGTACCAGTTACACGCTTCTCACTAGACCGGCATCTGTTAAGACAAACTTTGCTGCAGGTCTCTGGAAAAAAAACCAAAACCTGGGTGAGGTTCCCCTCTGGTTCTGTTCCATATCCCTGAGCTTGTCTTGTCGCTGAGTAGGAGTTTTCTTCTCAGTCTTGCCATGGGGGATGGTGGGGGACGTTTTTTCTGGAACAAGTCAGGCAGTCAACATGAAAAAACTGGGGGTCCAAGACACATAAGCAGCACACTCTTTTGTACCAAACGTGTCAAGCTCTAGGGGAGTCTTTGTCTTAAAAGGTCTCATGTTCTTTGTCTGTCTTGTCTATTTCTGAGAGTGAGTTTTTTGGGAATCTTGGAAACTGCCTTCTCTGTGCCCTCTCCAGGCTAAACCTGAAAA